CGCCACATCACCGCCCGCCGCCCCACCGTCACCGCCGCTGGCACTAACGCTAACGCTATGCCCTCCGCCACCCGCCGCCGCCGCCGACACCGCTGACGCTACTGTTGACTACGAGCCGTTGGCACTAGCTGCAGAGCGTGAAGCGGCTGTTGGGGTGACTGCAGGGGATGCACACCGGGGGACGTGGCGGGCCGTACTGAAGTGCTGCTGCCGTCACCGCCGCCCACCACCGCCGGCAGTTAGGTCGCCGGCTAGGGCCTCTGACGGCAGCATCACTTGTCCCGCTGAGTTCGACAGGTACCCGCCGGCGGCCCGGTTACTGCCGCCAATGCTAGCCCGAGCGGTGGATGCAGTGGATAGGCCGCCGCCGGTACCCCCGCTGGCGGCGCCGCCGCTGCCGGTGCGTGTCATGGTAGCTGCTGCTGCTCCCGTGTTGCTGGGTGAGGTTCGGGGGCCTTGGAGTCCATTTTCATCTTCATAGACATCAGGGCGCCCGCCACGTTGGAGGGGAGCACATCCTGATGAGGGGGAAAGGGGGGGAGTTGGGTTGTGTGGTTGCGGTGGGGTGCGGTGAGGAGGGCATTGAGGTGAGGAGGGCAACCGGCCCATCACGCCGGACTGTGGTGGAGTGCGGTGCGGAGGGGAGCGGCAGGACAGACATCTAGGAATGGACAGAGAACCCATCCCACCCCGCCCCATCAATCCATTGCGCTCCACCTCCTCCGCCGCCTCACCCCAGATCCCCCATGTGCCGCCCACCCCCACATTCCCATGAGTTGCGAGTTTCAATCATAGTGTTTCCGAATGGGCTCACTGCATGAGTCGGGATTTGGGATTGGGACTCCGTTGCTGCACTTATCATTTATTTTTTCCAACAGTCCCCATGCAGCCCCCCATGCAGCCCCCACTCACATACAGGATCCTCCCCCCCGGTGCTCCGCCAGCATGTGCCGCAGGTGCAGCGCCCGCCCAGCGCATGCGCCACGTCAGCACTCAGCCCCAGCAGTGCGGCATCGAGCTCCCCGTGCACCGGACTCAGCACCAGCAGCGCCCCACGAGGGAGGAGGCGGAGGAGGGGGGAGGAGGAGGGGGCGGGCCAGATGGTGCGATGAGGGGTTGGCGGAGGCAGAGGTGGAGGTAGGCGCGGGTGCGGAGGAGGAGGAGGCGGTGGTGCCGAGGCCGGAGACGGGGATGACTGCGAGGTTGGAGGCGAAGGAGGCGGTGAGGAGCCAGTCCAGAGCAGCAGAGCCGGTGCTGGTGAGGAAGTGGGGGGAAGGAAGCGGAGGAGCAGGGGAGAGGGTAGTTGAGAGCGGGGAATGTAAGGGAGGGGGCACGTACAGAAGGATGGTGGAACTGCCGGTGGCCACAGAGGTAGCCAGGGCACGTCATTGAGCAGTGCGGTATATACGGCACCCTACAATAGCAGTACTAACAAGGAACATCAGCCGCTTCGTTTCCAACATGACCCATGGGTCTGTCCCCACCCCGTTCCCTCACGCCCCCATCGCCCCACCTGCCCCCACCACACGTCGGCCCCACATCCGTCGCCACCACCAGCTCCTGAGGCCGCAGCTGGGCCGCTACGGAGCGAAGGCACTCCCACGCCACCGCCGCTGCCGTACCTCCGCCTCCGCCGCCTCCTCCGAACCCGTCATCAACGCTGCCGCTGTTGCTGATGTCAGCATCATCGTACGGCGCCAGTGGTCGTAACGCCCGCAGTTGGTGTACCGGTACGAGCAGCACTGGAGAGGAGCCAACGATGCCGGCGTTTGGGTCATGGCGGTGGCTGAGAATGGGGTTGCTGACGCCGCCGCCATTGACGGCGGTTGTCGAGGAGGAGGATGCCAATTGCCGTACGAGCTGCTGCTCAGGCAGTCTGCCGTACTGCGGCATAACGGCCAGGTAGACGGAGCAACCTGGGGGGGGCGTGCGTTCGTGGAGCGGGGCACCCGGGGTGGGCGGTGTGGGACAGACCGGGAAGAGACAGACATGCACCCAGTGGGCACCCCACTGGGTGCATGAGGAGCTAGAGGAGCGGATCAGGCTGCCCTGCATGGAAGAGGCTCTGCTGTTACCTACCTTCGCAGCCGTCTTCAAGTCCCTAAATCCCAACCGCCAGCCCCGGCCCCAGCCCTCCCCCCCGGCCCCATCACTCACGGCTGTACATGTCTCGTGTCTCCGCCTCCAACGTCCCCAGCAGCTCCTCCGCGTCCGTCTCCCGCGCCGCCACCTCATGCAGCGCCGCCATGGCTGCCCCGTGCTGCCGGTACCACTCGCCGTCACGGCCCTGGCTCTCCTGACTTACCAGGTATACGGCTCGCAGCGCCGCCACCAGTACGGCAGCGGAGAGGCCTCGCATGAGGCTGTACGACACAGCGGGGGGGCAGCGGCTCGCCGCGACGGAAGTAGCCTGACTGCTGCTGATGACCACTTCCTACGTGGCAGGGAGAAAGGGAGAGGGGTTGGGGGTGCGAAACGAGCCTAGCAAACATACAAAAGCATGCACCGAGCGTTGCTCTTGGTGAGTAAAGCAAGGGTGTGGCACATGTATGCATGCATGCATCCGTACATATAGTACCCACCTGTACGAGCCCCACAAGCTCCGAAACCAGGGCCACCTCGGACCCCCGGTACGCGTCCATGTCCACAATGCTCGTCAGCACGTGTATGACGGCAAGCCCCGCCAAACCCAAAAGTACGGCACCGTCTGACGTGGCCAAGATGCCGTACAACCACCGCCGCGCTGCGGGCAGCCGACGGCCTGCCGCCGCTGCGGCGGCTGCGGCGAGGTTGGCTGCGGGTACGGCCTGGGTGAGTAGCAGATGCGTCGCCACGTAGCCACCCACGGAGAGCACGGCAGTACGGATGAGGGGATGGAGGTAGCCTGCGGGCATGGCGCATGGTTTGCGGATTCCGTTACGCAACCAACACCCAAGATAATGCGGTCGCAGTTAGGGTCGGGGCAAGCTGGCGCAACTAGGACATGTCGTGCGGATCTTGCTTCCAGGTCGTCAGTGGGTTCTAACGTACCGGCATTCAGCCACGGAGGGGCCAGCTGAACAACCTGCCCTGGCGTTCATTCCAGGACAGGTGGATGTCTTACACCACACGTCCACGAACCCCCGCCCCCCGCTCCCCACCCGCCGTGTTGCCCGCCTCCATGTCGTACAGCATGCTCGCGTGGTGCATCAGCGTGGCCAGCCGCAGCCCCATGGCCCACTGGAAGGCGCGCGGGGGCAGCTCCAGCAGCCTCCACAGCGCAGCGGCCAGGAAGAGGGAGTAGAGGGGCCGGCTGGGGCCGCCCACGCACACACCCATGCCTTCCAGGACAAGCTGGCGGAGGGGCGGGTGCGGAGGGGAGGGGGGTAGGAGCAGGGGAAATGTGGGTTGCAAGCTTGCGACGGGAGTGGCGGATCGAGGAACGTGACGCGGCAAATGCAGGCAGCAATTGCATGGACCATTACGTTGCATACCAACAGCCAACAGCCCATCATCACCAGGCTCACTGCACAACAACCCCATCCAAGCAGCAGGAAGAAGAAGAAGCAGGCCACATGAACCTACCAGACGGATCTCCTCATTGGCAATCAGCATGGCGGGCCACAGTACGGCACGCCACCTAGCAAAGAGATCTGGAGTGGTGTACGGCAGGACACTGAACAACACGTCTGCTGCCATGCTGGCTAGGTGGAGGAGCAGCGAGCGACTGAGGTACGGCGGCGGGTTGGCGGCGGCAGCAGCCACAGCAGCAGTCAGGTTAACAGCTGCAGTGGCATTGGAAGCAGTAGCTGTAGCAGCGGCAGCGGTGGCCATGTTAGAGGCAGCGGAGGCGACAGCCGAGGGCGAAGAAGATGTGAGGAGAGATGCCAGCGAGCCCAGTCCCAGGAGGGAGGAGGAGGAGGCGGCAGGGAAGGAGAAGGAGAAGACGTCGAGGCAGGCGGCCGAAGCGGCGTCCATCGGGGTTCTGCGGGGGTGGGGGAGCAGTAGCAAAAGCAGCACCAGTCAACAACGCGTGAGTGCATGGTGGGCGCCAGCAGCAGCGACGTGCAATGTGTGTTAAAATAACTGGCCGTGCAATGTGTAATTGAGTAGGACAACAGCAAGCAATTGGGAGTACAGGCCGAGTTGCCCCACACGTCCTGTACAGCACCCGCATGCACCCGCATGGAACACCCCCCCCCTCAGGGTGTCTGGGGCGGGTTTCGGCCATTGGGCACTATGGGTAGGTATCCTTTTATGTATTCCCAGCCCCGCTTGGACGCGTACCTGCATCGAGGTGTCAGCAGGTCGAGTCCCAGCCGCAGCACGGGAAGCGCCGAGTGCAGCATCACAAGCAGCCGCAGCGCTGCAGCGGCTCGATCGCGTAGGGAGTAGCGGTGGCGGTGCAGTCGGGGGGAGGGCTTGTGAGGTGGCTTCTGGGGCGGTTGCTCGGGTGTCTTGCTGCTGTTATCGCTGGTGCTGCTGCAACATGCGTCGCTGGTGTTTGGTGCGGACGAGCAGGGGCGGAGGCGGGTGAGGAGACGGAGGCCGTTGAAACAACGGGAGATAGAGGAGGATAGGATTGAGGGTGATGGTGGGGAGGCGGTGGTGGTGGTTGAGGCTGCGGTGAAAGGGGAGGAAGGGGAGGAGAAAGAGGAAGAGGAGGTAGGTGGACAGAAGGGGACGGGCGGGTCGCGTAGGGCTGCTTCCAGACGGCGGCGGATGTCCACTCCCTTGCATGCGGCCGGGCGCTGTTGATGGGAGGGAGGTCACGGAAGGGACGATGGGGGCGGAGGGAAGTAAACGTGAATACGCGAAGAGGGAAGTCACAGAAAGATTACACGCCCGTCGTTAACAGGTTAGGCGACTCATATCCGGGGTTCCTAACGCATGCAGCAGGCAGCCAAGCAAGCAAGCAAGGGCCCCCAGCACCGAGCGTGTCCTACCCGAATAAAGTAGCTCAGGGCGGCATACTCCTGCAATGGGTCGCAGGCGGGTGCGGGCGGCGGGGGCAGCGGTGGCGGGGCCGGCGGCAGCGGAGGCGGCACAGGCTCAGCCCGCGCCGCCGCTACCGCTGCCGCTGTTGTCGCCGCTGCCGCCGCCGCCGCCACCTCCGACCCCAACGCCGCACTCAGCTCCGCCGCTGAAGAGCCCTCCGGCAGTGGAGGCAGCACCTCTCCAGGGGGAGGCAACAGCTGCGGGGAAGCCTCCGCCTTCATCACCCCCATCACCTCCGTCGACGTCGCCGCTTTTCCGAATCCAGTCCATGTGGGACCCACCGCCGTCGCCGTCGCCTCCGCCGTCATTGATTCTAGTAGGGCGTTGACTACCTCTGTGCTGTCGTACACGTCATCAGATTGCTGTACGAGACTGGCGACGGGCGAGCTGGCCGCCACCGCCGCCGTTGCTGCTGCTGCTGCTCCCTCAGCGGCCGCCGCTGCCAAAGTTACGACTTCCGCATGGGGAGAAGCAACCACAGCGTTGGCGGGCGCTCTTTTTCCTTGGCCGGCTTTCACCATGACGTCGGCTAGTCCACCCCGGGTTAGCACGTCGGCTACAGGCTTTAACACCGCCTCCGCGTCTGCCTCCGGAGCTGCTGCAGCCCCCGCCAGCCCTTGCGTCTGCTGGCTCACAGGCTCCACTGGTGAACTGCTGCCAGCTGCCGGCTCACTGCCGGCAGCTGTCGAGGACTCGTCATCCGTACCTGCCGCTGCCGCAGCCGCCTTCATCTCAGCCTCCGCCATGGATGAAACCCGCGAGAAAGGGCTCCGAGCCACCGGCGTCGGTTTGCATGGCGGCGTCGGCAACGTAGGCGGCGGTGACGGCGATGTCGGCGGCGAGTCGCTGATGGTTGACAGACGACTGAACCCAGCGGCGGAACCGAAGCTAGCGCTCGTGTTCAACTTGCGTATCGACGTCGAGCTGCTGCCAACAACACCACCGCCGCCGCCGCCACCGCCGCGACCGTCCCCTCGCGGGCTCTTCACCCCGCCTGCACTACCACCTTCAATCCCCCCTGCCGCCGCCGCTAGCGCAGTGGGCCCCATGCTGGCGCCTCCCATGATGGACAGGTGGTTATGGCTCCGTACCCGGCTTAACAACCGGCCTCCGCCTCCGCCGCCGGCTCCATGCGGCCCCAGGTGGCTGGCCCCCATGTGCTGCGTGTAGCCGTACCCCCCGTGGTGGGTGTGGTGCAGCTGTGGCCCCTGGGAGTGGTGGCTGTGGTGGTGATGATGGCCGTGGTGACCGTGGTGGAGGGTGTGCGGGTGGTGATGTGGAGTATGGTGTGGAAAGGACAGCAGGTCCTCGCCGGTCGCGACATTGCTGCCGACCAAGCGCGCCGCGGGGCCGTGACTCAGTCGCCGTCGCCGCCAACGTCGCTCGCTGTACGACATGGTGCCATTGCCGCCGCCGCCTACGAGACCGGCGGCGGCGGCGGCAGCGCCGTCGCCCTCGGTTCCCAGCGTCGCGACCAAATGCACGGTCGGTACGCGTGTGCCGACGTTCAACGCCACAGCCACGGCCCAAGCTACTGGGTACAGGGCTAGAAGCTTTGCAAGGTCGACACCTGATGACGACGCTAGGATGCTGGGGCGGCTGGCAAGCAGGTATACATGTACGGCAACCCAGCCAACGGCCATCGTACCCGTTAGCCGTACATACACGCCGGGTTCGCAATCTAGGGCCAATGCTGTGATAAGGTTGAAGAACAAAGACCGGGTGGCGTGCATGTCATGCACTCCCGAGGGCTCAGCAATAAGAGCTATGGCCCGGATGACAAGCTGTACGGTCCATGTAGCCACGTTTAGAGTGCTGCCGTACCGCGCATAAACCAAAGGGAAAACCAGGGCCAGTAGCGGCGGAATGCCGTAAAGTACGGAAATCATCGTCGTCAGGTGTACGGACACGACGTAGCGCGTGAGCGGCTCGCCGCGCCTGCGGCTGTCGCGGACCACCTGCAGGATGTGCGCGGCCAGGTAGGCCAGCGCAAAGGCCCGAATGACGCAGAGCTTCACCAAGTGCACCGGGTGCACACGCACCGACAGCGGCGGAGGTGCATGTACGGCAGCTGCTGCTGGGGCGGCGGCACCTCCGCCATCTACTGCTGCCGCGGCGGCGGCAGCAGCGGCGGCGGCGGCCGCAGCAGCCGCCCTGTTGGCCGCCCTCGCGGCGGTGGTAGGACCCGGCTCCGATCCCATGCAAGGTAACAACGAGTAGGCGCCCAGGTCGATTGAGGAGCGCACGGATTTCAAACTGCCGACTGCAGGGAAGGCTGCGGTGCCACCGCCACCGCCACCGCCGACAGTAGACGTCGGATAGTACCACTGTGTCGTACCACTGCCTCCGCCTCCGCCACCGCCGCCGCCGCCACCACCGCCGCCAGCACCCCCACCTCCGCCGCCGCCTCCAACGGAGCCATCAAAGGAAAGCCGCGGAGTGGCGCCGCGGGACCCCGCGTTACTGCCCCCGCCGGCTCGGCTGCTGCTGCCATCGGGCGTCTGGGTGTTGTGAGTGACGTCATCTGGTGGGTCGTAGTACGAGTCGGCGGTGCGACCCCTGGGTCGGGAGCCGGCCCAGGGGGGCGGAGCGCCCATCAACGTGTTGTACCTGCGGCGGCCGCAGAGGGTTCCGGCGAGTATGGCATTAGGGTCGTCTCGCGTACGAGTATGGGTATAACCGAGGTATAACCAAGAAACAGCTGTATGCCTGTATCATAAAGCCGACCTTACATGCCCGCACCATTCTTTCCTCCCCTTCCTTGCTCCTTTCCACTACCAGCACACTTCCCTCCTCCTTCCCTCCCTCCCTCCCTCACAGCGTATTGAGTCCCAGCATGGCGCAGTATGTTGCCATGAACTTGAGCGCCTCGGTGGGCATGTCGTCCTCGGGTCCCAGCCCAGCTAGGTGGCCGCACAGGCAGGCCAGGGCGGCCACTCCCAGCTGCGCTAGGAAGGACTTGGGGTCGTCCTGGGGGCAGCAGGGGGCGGGGGGCGGGGGCGGGGGCGGGGCATAGGGGATAGAGGGGGATAAAGAGAGGGATGAGGGGAGCTGTGAGGAGTGTTGGAGGCGGAGGCGGAGGAACGGGAGAGGAACGAGGGCTCAGCATGCAGAAGTGACATGCCTCGCCACCGGACCGAGGGTGCTGACTTCCATGCACTTCTGGCTTTCCAGGACAGCTTCCCTACATGCGTGTGTGTGTTTTTCCTCGCCCAGCCCCCCCCCCCCGCACCTGCTGCACCATCATGCTCACTCCCGCGATCACCAGCTCCTGCTTGTACGCCTTGGCACGAACCGTAGCACACTCGCTTGTGGCCTGCAGGGGGTAGGAGAGGAGGAGAGGAGGAGAGGGCGACCGGGGAGGGGAAAGGGTGATGACTGGGAGAGCAACCACGAAACCAGATCAGGTACAACGCAGGCCAAAGGCCTGGCGCCAAGGCCGCACCAAACCGACACAATTCTTCACCCCCTGTAGGTTACAGTTTGGCCCCTTCCCTGCGCGACAAGCCTTAAGAGCTGAAACCCATTCCACAACCCTCCCCCTTTCCCTCTTCCAACAACCCACTCCCTGCCACTCCGCCCCCCACACCCGCTCGCCCCACACACCTGCATGAGCAGCCCCAGCAGCCTCGCCGCCAGCCCGCCCACATGCAGCGCCCGCCGGTGCTGCAGGTACACCCGCGGCGCACCCATGGCCACCACCTGCATGGCGCAGTGCTTCAGCAGCGGCACCAGCAGACCCGCCAGGGCCAGCCAGTGGCCGGACAGGGGGTGGCGCCCGCTGCCGGCGCCTGGGAGCAAGGGGGAGGAAGGGGAGAAGGGACCGGGAAGGCCGAGGAGTGAGCGAAGTGTAAGAAGGAAGGCATGGGTGAGGGGAGGAGTGAGCGACGTATTTGGGGAAAAGGAGCAAGTTGGTCGTACAGTGTTGCTGGAGGAGCGAGTCGTGGTGGTGCGGCGGTGGAGGGGGTGGTCATGCAAGGAGATGAAAGCGGGTTAGGACAACGGGCAAGGGGCTTGGGAGCTGTGCAGCGGTATCGGTGTGCGGGTGTACGGTGTGTTTACTTACGTGAGGTCTCCCATAGGCGGTACACTGCTATCAGGTGGAAGGACTGGATGGCAAACCCCAGAGTCCTGTGTAAGGGAGGGACGGTGGAGGGTTCGTTGCTGAGTCAGATACCAGCTGTGGTACTCGTAGAGCAATTAGCGCTGGTTTCCGTCGCTTCTAGAGGTTGCACCGAACGCTGCACTGTAAGGAAATAGCCTAGGGTGAAGCCCTGGGAACTACTACGCTGTATGCGCCTTCCTGCTCACCGAATGCAGACAAGGCGCTTCAGCAGCTGCTGTTGTTCACGCAGCTGTCCATCCGCAGAGTGCTGTAAAGACTGGAAGACAATCGCAAGAGCAAACGGCAGTTAGGACGAGGAAACGTCTGTTTCATTAATCTTTAGGAAAACTTTGCAGCAGAATCCACCTTGGAGCACGTGGAGCCTCCAGCCGCGCGCGATGTGTTACCGGTAGCAGCAGCCGGCTCTCTGCGGGCAAGTATGTAACTTGCGAATTACAACAGGTAGCCGTCGAACGATTATGAACATGCATACTGGCATGAATGTCCCATAAGGTGCCTCACCGTGCCAGGCCATTGTGGAAGAACGCCCAGCCGGCGGTCAGACCAAACAGAAAGGCATTGAGGCCAATCCACCATCCCTCCAACCAGTCGAATGTATCGAGCGCCGGCATGTTTCACGAGGTTCTCCACTAAACGTGGTTAGCGCCCTACGCAAGCTTCATTCCGCAGACGGCGCAGCAGCGCGAGCAAAACTTGTCAATAATAATTATTGTTCCATACACCGCGTCGCTTCCAAGGGAGCAATACTGTTACGGCATCAGCGCATATCGTACCGTTATTATGTCAGCTAGGGCTAAGACCAAATATCCAAGGCTTCTTACTGCTTGGACTTGCATATCTTGTTGACGTACATAACATAGGCGTATGCTTTAAGCCCATTTCGATTGTAGCGGCTTTGCCACTGACGCCTGAGCCCTGTGGCCAGTTTTTAAGCTCCTTGTAAAGGAATCCTAACGGGAAACAAAACAGCATCAAGAAACTAGGGGACTATTTGCCTGTAGGCCCTTCGCCTACCGTCTTACTACGTACTGCCGTATTTGCCTAGCTAAGAATGTGTAAAGCAGCAGTGGGACGGCGCATTTCGTTTCGTCTCGGGATACCGGTATGAATAGTTGTAGGCTGGTGCAGGCCATGCGTTGCTTGTCATGCCAAAACCGTATAGCTGCAGTGGGCTACACAGTACGCTTTTACCTCGCTAAGCTGTGTTGCAACGGACATTGAAAGTGTTTGGCACTGCATCTTACACGCTATTACCTCATGCAGTAGACACACAGCCCTGTGGCGCAGCCCTGAGCATGTGTTGCACGACAAAGCCTTTCTCAGGCCTGGGCGGGCCAGTTTACAGCAGATGGCTTGCCTTGCTGTGCAGGTTCTTTGAGGTCGGATACACAAGTGGCCTCTGTTCCGCCGTACTGTCGTGCGTTTGGAGCAACCTTTAGTGGGGTTTCGCAACTTAGCCCAGACTGCCGCGCTGCAATGTACGACAAGCTTGGCGCGAGCTACTGTGTGCCCAGCACACTACTGAACACACAGACCTTCACACGAATTTGTTGCTTGAGAGTGTTTGGTGATGACGTTCAGTGCGCCTCGTCTCGAATGGCAAACACCGTCCAACATCGCGCCTGCATCGGCCTATGCCACCCTCAACGGAACCCAGTTACCCAGTAACACAACACCAGCGTGAGATCATGCGTGCCCACCTTACCACCAATCCTGCACCCAAGGTTCTGGACATCGCGACCAGTGTTCTTAACACGCACACCGCCACCCTCCGGTTATCACCAGTACATTCCAAGTTGCGGCCAGTTTTCTTAGCACACCGCGTTGGGTCTTCGGGTGTATGCAATCAATGAATCGAGCAGTACAGGCCCCACTACCGAAATCCACCCTCGAACGCCACTTCGCACGCTACTTTGCACGCCATTATGGAATGTACATTGCCCGCATGCCTGGTACTTGGCAAAGCTCATGTTCACAAGCATACGCGCTTCCATCAAAAGGCATAAACGCGGCTATCGCATGTAAGAGAACGGGAATGAAGTTAACATACAAGGCCATTAAGCAGCCGCATCCAACCACCCACCCAACCCTCCAACGTAGCCCAACCTCAAGTCGCTGTCGTACACCAACTGTCGTGCAATGCAACCAGCTGGGTCCGCCCACATACAGTCAGCATCATGATCACACTACCACCAGCCGCAACCGCACATCCACTAGCGGCAGTAACCACACGTGAAGTCTCCGGAAGACTGTCAACAAGAAAGCCGTCAACAAATTCGCATACAGTATGTACTACATTCCATTCCTCAAATGCGGAGACATACGCCGTGCACATCCTGCGTCCTCCGTTGTCCAGCACTGCAGTCAATATCGTACAACTCTGCCATCAACATATCGGGATCATCAATCAACGGTATCGCAAACAACCTCAATTGCGAGCACAGGGCCCTATGCGGCGCCCTTCATCCATTCTCCAATCTGGCATTACAGCAGCCCCATTTGCAGTCGCACCGGGTCACACAAAGTACCGCGTCGCAACGGATAAGGCGCACCGCACACGGGATGGTCTCTCTCTCGTTCACTGCCCCATCTTCCTATCTCCTAGTTCACTTGCAGGACCACAGTCCATCCATACCCGTACATCAACAATACCCATACATGTCATCCATTATCACAGCATCGGCAATTCGGCAAGCATCAGGACATCCAATGCTGGCACCAGTCGCCATCACTGCCCCCGATTAACCACGTTAACGCTACCATGCACTGGGTGCCGTGACGCTGCTCACCCCGACGCCGACGCCCTCTCCACGGCTGCCGCGGAGGCCCTCATCAGCTGCTCCACCACGTCGAACACCAGCTCTGGAGAGAGGGAGGGGAGGAGGGGCAAGGGCAGCAGGGTGAGGGGGAAAGAGGAGGTCCGGATTGTGGTAGGGGAACAAGGGAGGGAGGGTGGACGGCAAAGGGAATCAATTACATTGCAACCCGTCAAACCATCACGACATGCTGTGCCTTGCCTCACCTGTATCACTGAAGCTCCGACGATAGAAGGCTGCGGATACCGCCGGGGGAGGGAGAGGCGCCCCCACAGCATTACCTGCCGCTGCCATAGCCGCCGTCAGCGGCAGTACCTCCGAAGGGAGGTTGTGGGCTGTCGCTCCTGACCCATGGGTCGCTGCTGGCGCCTCCATGCTAGGGGCAGCAGCCCTTATCACCGTTCCTGAGGTGATGGCTGCTGCAGATGTGGCGGAGCCAGCTGCAGCGCCTAGCGCACTGCCCGCACTGTTGGAGCGTTCAGGACGACCCAGGGGTCGGTCTTGTGAATGCCGCAGACATGCGGCTCCTTGTCGTCCTCCCAAAGCTACCGTCCCTGCCGTTGCCATCAACTGCACAGCGCATGGCGGAGTAACGCGGTTTCGTCAGTTCAGTATTAAACCAGAAACACCTGAAGGCATCTACCGGTTAAACGGCTTCGTCACCCCACATGGCATCCCCGCGACCCACACAGCAGCTTGTCGGACCCACATCGCGCCCGCAACCCATCCTGTCCCATCCCGGCCCCCTCCCAGCAGCCCCAACACACCCTCACCCGCCGCTGCCAGCGCCGCTCCGCAGCTTCCGCACTCGCCCGCAGGATGGCAGCGGCCGCACGCACCAGCCCGGCATCAGAGGAGCCCGCCTCCGCCTCCGGCCCCGTAGCAACCGCTGCAGCTGTCGACACCGCCGCCGCCGCCGCCAGTGGCGGATCCCTAGCAGTCAGGACGGCGGCCGCCGCAATGGCTGCCGCCGCCGAGCCGTCCAGGTCTGGCGGCCAGACCACACCGCGACGGCGCGCCAGCTGCAACAAGACGTCCACACCACCGCTGCCGGCACCTCCGCTGACGCCGGCGCTAGCATGCAGTCCTCCCGGCGCCGACGCAGCTGCACACTGCAGCTCCGGAGGCAGTACGACATGCGGGACGTCAGCTGACAGGCGCCCGGTGAGGCCGCCGCTGCCACTGCTGCCGACACCACCGCTGCCGGCGGCGGTGATTCCGGCGCTGACAGAGCCCGCCGGAGCCCTCGGGTTGGTGCTGCCAAGCGGCAATACAGATGCTGGAGCCGTCGCCACGGAAACTGGCAGCGGAGCCGAACTGCTAGCAGCAGCCGCAACGGAGCTTACCCCTCCTCTTCTTCCCTCTCCGCCGAGGCTGCGACTGTTGTTGCTGCTGCTGATGCTCGTCCCCGTCGAGTCGTTGTCGCCCTCATGCACGGCAGCCGCGGCACCTGCAGCAGCCGCTTCCGTGCCCGAACTCGCCACCACGCTTCCGCCCTGCCGTCCTCCTCCTCCTCCTAATACTACTACCTCGCCTCCTTCACCCACGGCGGCTCTGCTTGCTGTGGCGCCGGCGGCGAGGCGGGAAGCGGGGGCGGTAACAGGGCCAGAAGCGGAGGTACTGGCTGGGACAGACAAGCCGACAGCGGCGTCGGCGGGGCCTGCTGTAGAGGTGGAAGCGGCGGCGGGCTGCTGCTGCTGCTGCTGGCGGCCGCTGCCGGATGTTGCCCGGCAGAGGCTGCCGGAGGAGGTGCGGGGGGAGCAGCGCAGGGGCGGCTGCAGCGCATGGGAGCGCGGGTGTACGGCTGCAGCAGCAGCCAGCAGGCTCC